GAAAACTTTTAATCCATAAATGTGTTTTTTCTCAAACTTTTGATCAATTTTTTACATTATGAAATGTTCAAATTTTTGACATGAAGCCATATTCTGAAAGTCAGTTTTTTCTGCACATGTTGGTAATTAATATACATTAAACATAAATATGATAATAAAAATAACGTAAATTTTTATAATAATCATCGCGGTGGAAGTCAGTCGGTCTTTCGGTTCTGTACGGTCCTGAACGGTCTTTGTAAAAGTTATAAGGAATGCACCCTTGAAATTTTGAGGCGTAACAAGTATAGCTAAAGACCAATAAATGTCAAAATTTTGCCTTTATACTTCTTTTTTAAAGACCAGCAGAGGCAAAATTGGTAAAAGACCGAAAAAATCAAAAAATACTGGTTTTGGTAAAATAAAAACCTACCTAGCTCTAAATTGGGTGATTATATTGAGACCAAACTTTACCACTTTTCGGTCTTTAATCAGTTCAGTTCTGTTGTGTCATAAAAAAATTGGGAGCACAGCCTTATTACTTTTCCTAAAAACCAATCAAGACCGATTAAAAACCGCAGGACCTACTGACTATCTCTATGTATTAGCCACCCATGTTTAATTACATATAATCCACAAATCCCATACGATATTAACAATTTAATACTCACAAATAAAAATTGCAATTGAGCTATAAAATGACATTCTGGCTTGAATTCACTGGTTCCTGAAAGAAGTTTTTCAATCATAACCACTTCTCAAATCCATTTCTCAAAAGCAGTGATAATTGCATGAGATTTGGATGGGTGTGGAGAGATTGATGAGAGACTTTTTAACAGAACAGAATTCAAGACCTCTCTATCTGGGGAGTAAATAATTCTAAAATGTCTTTTTATTTTATACAATTACTATTTAATGAAATGCTTAATTAATTGAACAATTATAACATACTGTTAATATTATCAATGCATTTTATTGATTTGAAACTTCGTGTATAATATTCTATCATGCATTACTACCATGCGTGAAACAGTAAATTAATTGATAAATCGTGAAGTTACATGCTCAAAATTTATATTAGTAAAAATATGTTCAAATTCTTAAAATTAAATAAATTTAATTATGTTAATTTTTAAAAATAATCAACTTGTATTTTATTTATAATTTATAAAAAAAATAATAAGTTTTATAATTTATAAAATAATTAATAAGTTTTTATTTATAGAAAGTTATTTTTTTGAAATAATATTCAAAATACTAAATTTTTTAAAAAAAAATATAAATTACTACATTAATATAATCGTTAAAGTTATTTTTATTTCACTTTTTTATAATAAAAATTTTTTTTTATCTAAAATATATCTAAAAGTAAAACCGTTAACAAAATGTTTTATCAAAAGCAAAAAAAAAACTGGTTATTATCTTTATTTCTGCATTAATCGCAATGGATACTTCGACTTTTTTTTAATTTTTTTGGTGTCTTGTCAATGATTAGCCAAATAATTATGTTAGATTTTATTGTTTCTGATTTAGCCGCCTTGTTCGATGCATCCATTAATTCTTTTATCACTCGGAGCTATTTGTTCTACTGAATAAATTCTAGGAGCCTTTATATTTTCACTCGCAACTTGAGACCTTCCACAAGACCTTTGCATTTCGCTCACTCATATATATATTTTCATAAAGAGGAAAGTAATTTTTTGGGAGCATAGTATCTAAAAAAAAAATAATAGATGCCTTCTTCCTTTGATCAGATATCGAAAGTTACTTCAAATAGAAGTATTCTCTAAGGTGCTCACTTAATCCCGCTCTTCATTTCGGTGAGTTGCATTGATCTTATCATTTTTTAATTTTTTAAAAAAAATATTATATCTTTTTTTATTTTAAATTTTTTTAAAAATTATATTTTTAGATACAAATCAATATCGAAGTTACTTGTAATAGAAGCATTCTCCAAGATGCAGGCTTAATCCCACTCTTTTTTTAGGTGAGTTTATATTTATTATTATAATTTTTTAGCTTTTTTTTACTATATCAAATGCAAAAAAAAAAAAAAAAAATTTAATATAATTTTTTTTATTTAAATTTTTCATCCTTAGTGGGGTTAGATACCTACGAAAGGTCGCAAATTTTTTTATGCAATTGGTGCTTAGGTGAGTTCTGTTTTAATGTTTTGTTTTATTTTTATTCTATCCAAAGCAAAAAAAAACATATTAATTTTTAACTTTTATTTTTAACTTATCGAAATATTATTTACTAAATAAGACATTCATATAAATCGTAAATATCAAAATGCTATGTAAGTTATACAAAAAGAAATAGAGTTGGTTTTGATTACTTCAAAACCTATTACGTTAATTGTTAAAAGTAGTTGTTTTCTCACTTTATCTACTAAGATATGATAATAAAAGACTTCATGAAAAGAAAATAATAGAATATTATTTATCACATGAAGGGGTGGTTTCTAAGCCACTAATACTAGCTAGTTCTCATTTAAAATACAGAATGGCATAGTAAAAAAAAAATGAAATGATCAATACTAAAAACAATATCAGTAAATTCGATCATTTTATATTTTATTGCCAAAATCGGTATACGTGTCTTAATTCGATGCAAAATAAATAAACACGGTTACCAGAGTATTTTTAAAAATATGACTATTAATATACCAATCTCAAAGAAAATAAAGCTTGACTGGCAGGGTAATTGGCATTTTTGATATCATTTCTAGGACGATAATTAACTTGTTTAACAAAAACTTAATTATTTATAACTATTTAACAAGATTATTATGAAAAAAAATAACAAGGATTCGGTTTGATCATTAATCATAGTTAAAAAAATATGCGGACCAATTTTACCAAAGAAAAAAATTTCTATGATACATGATTGGATTAAAAACTTTATTATTGATAAAGCAACTTCGAACTATAATAGGTTACAAAATATATACAAGCGCTTTATTAAAAGGATGCGTGATATTTCAATAAAGTGCCGTTGTAAGTTCACATTGACCTGAGTTTTTTTGGCATAATAAAATACACAGGTATTTTATTGTGAACTTGTGGACGCTTTGGTTTGTCAGCTTGCTTAAAGGTAATAATATTTTGAGTCTTTGATTAATAGTTTCTGCACAGAAATCTAAAATTTTAAGTGCGTGTCAATGCCAAAGTTGCTCGTCATTAAGTAAAAACTAAATATTACTTTGATATTCAAGAAAGCATCATAATAGTTAAAGCTGTTGGCAGATTCTTCTTCTGATATTTCTAAATTTTGCTGCCTTGAACACGACATATATATGCACTGTCATCATTAAGCCTATAAAAATCAAAAAAATGGTAAATATAATATTTTCATGCTGAGCTAGTTGAATCAAATATTAAAGTGAATTATTGAAACCCCCGAGTATAAATTTCCATCGTATAAAGACAGACATTTCTCTGATTATTATTGGTTGAAAGTTACTTATATTACTCCAAATCCTATATGGTTTCTGATAAAAAGGCATATCGATAAGATTTGAATAAATTTTTTGATTTTACCATTAGATTTATTAATTATTCGATAGTGCTACAAAAATTGAAACTTTATATTCACCAAACAATTTCAACATTTATAATCGGATTCGCAACAAATTCCACCAATCAAATGCATTGCTAATAATAATTATCAAGTTAAGGTTGCCTAGAAAAACCCTGAGGTTTTGACAGGTGGTAAAATTAAATTAATTTTGATGATTTGGCAAAAAATTTTTTTAAAGTCAACCCGTGAAAGCTTCGATAGTTGAAAAAATGTTTCGAAAGATAGTAAATTCATCAAAAGCTTTGATAGGAACAACTTTTTGGAAATTAATGGGGTTAGATTTTTACCAGTATCTAATATGTGAAAATTTTGAAGGTTTGAAAAAAAAAATTATAAAGGACTAAAAATATATATTAATTATTCAAATCATATTACGGATAGATCAACTATATATTTCCATAATTAGTGTTTATCATGAAGATCTTTGAATCCCACAATTTCAAATTTTTCATTTTTTTAATATAAATAAGAATAGAATTCATTTGTTTTTTGCAATAACTCTTATGATCCCTCTTGTGAAGATAGCTTATAGGCTGACAAAGATTTTTAACGAGGTAAACTACGCTCTCTGTTTTTCAAAGTTTTAATGAAACAGTTTATAAGATTGTTAGCATAGCGAGGCTTAAGGAATGGTCGCTTAAAGGAATTTGTTTCTCTAGACATGGAATGCGAGTGTGTCACTTCCTGCTAACTTTTACATTTTTTTTTAATAATAGACACGTTTTGATAGGAATCAATTTTCACCAGTAAAGTCCATGAGTGATAATCCTTTAGATTTTTAGATTAATAATGAAAATAAACAATAAAAAAAATAAAAATAAAATAAAAATAGAAAAAAAAAAAGATAAAAAAAAAGGTAGCAGAGATTGAAAAACTAGAATTGGAAAATCTTAAATTGCGCCAAGAACTTAATCTTGACTAAGGTAATATTGAATATTATTAAAATAGTGCATATAAATTTAACTAAAAGAATTTTTGTGTTTTTAGTTTATCTATATATTTATAATTAGAAAAAATTTGTCACGCCCCTATATAAATAAATTTAATTCCTTGAGTCATCACTACGTAATTTTTATCGTAATTTTGTAAATGTTTGTATCATCACACTTTATACAGTACATTACAAAATATTTATTTTTTAAATACTTAATTCTTTTTTTGCAACATACTTTCACTGACCAAGTTAAGGTTTTTGTATCAAAAAGGTTAATGTATTTAATATCAACAACTCGTACGTTTTCTTCAAGCAGTTCTATACCACAAATATATACAATAATTCCATTAGATAATATTGTTGCAGTATAAGAATTTTGCAGAATTACTAGCTGGATTGATTGACCATGATAATTCAGCTGTATTTAGGATCACCATATCATTATAAATTATATGTTGGTGAACCTAAATCATCATCAAATGCTCTACCAAAAAAAAAAAATTTTTCATGTATTATCAGCAACACCCTTCATACTTATTTGTCTTTCAGGTAGAGTTCCTTTAACATTAGGTACATTCCACTTTAAGGAATTTAAATTAAATGAATGAAAGAATGATTTATAATCATCTTGATTTAAAGGATTACGCATTAATCCACCTAATAAATAAATGCTTTGTTCTTTATCATTAAGTAAAGTAGTTCCTCAGCAACTTTTGTATAGAATTTCGGCATTTTGCATAACCCATGGTGAGCAGCCAAATTATATGACCGAGATAGATTGAGGTAAAACACTTGATTTGTACATGATCTAGCATTAGCAACATATCCGCCAAAAAAATAAAGCTTATTTTCAACAAGGACAATAGAATGATCTAAACGTTCTTCAGGAGTAAATGAACCAACTTTAAAGAATAAATAGCTTAACAAAAAAATCGACAGGTTAAGCAATTTGCATATTTTATAAGTCATGATTTCAATATGTTAAAAAAATAAAGGGTTAAAAAAGAAATTATAAAATAAAATAACAATCCTTTTTTGGAAAATTTTCATATCACGAGATATCTTCAAAATGTTATACTGCACAAACAAAAGAGTCGAAAAAGGACTGGCGTCCTTGGCTCAGTGGTTAAACCGTAAGTCTCCTATTAAGCTAAAAGTTTTATTACACAGCAATAGGCCATCAGTTCAGGTATCAGCCGATACATAAAACTAGATGATTTTCATAAGAATTTCATATG